AACTTGAATTAGTTACGCTTAAGATGGGTCTGTGGTAGATGAATGTAATGTAAAGTAATGTATTTTAATGTAATGAAATGTAATGTAACGTTTCCTAGGTAACAACAATTCAAAGTAAACAGATGACGTTTCCTAAGTAACATAACAATGAAGTTACACTTTTTAGTTACCCTTTTTCATTTCCTTTTTTTGCCAAATGACCCTTCAATATAGACGTATTTACATCAAAACATAAGATTTTGAAAAGTGTATGTAAACGTTGTGTTATAACCTACACGTGTTGAGATACAGTGAAATTGGAAAACTTCTGTTGGTGTTTGCAAGGCAAATAAGAGACTTCTACCTTCCAACATCAGCAGTGCATCATTGCGAAAACTAATATTTACCGATTGTTGGGAATTTTTTGCAAAAAATTATATCTTCTTTTGACGACCCTTTTCTGTGTGGGAACTCACATCCATGTTATGAAGTTTTGGTTCAAATTGCATAAGAATCTTGCATCATTCGTTTCTGGTAGTCACCATCAGCATAAAACGTAATGTTGCATGTACCATCCTTGGGTCTGACGTGGTTTAACAAGCATGTCGCTGTTACTGAAGGCTTGTCACTTGCCAAGGGTCATTCAGAATAACTTCTGAAATTGTCTCACAGTTACCTTAGATGCACAGTAAACTGCAAGAACATCTTACAACTTTCTCTGTGACTGTACTGATATATGTGTATACCCCATATTCATAGTCAGAAATACATGGATGCAGGATACTTAGTGAGACTATCCCAGATCACTACATAGCAACAGCATTCCAGGTAAGATTTCATCTGTCTGTACTGAGTGATGCACATTCCGATTTCTCTGTTAAGTGTGTTGACATTTCATTCCTAGTGAAAGTAGCATCAGAGGTTATGAAGATGACCTCTGGGTTGTGCTGTGTAGATTGCTCCAAGGTTATCGATGTTTACAGGTTATGTTTTCATTGGGTTAAACACTGCCATCATAAACTGAACTTTCCATCCCTGCTGGACCCAGTCTCTGGCGGACCCAATATCTTCCTGACCCGGTACCTGTTGGAATCATTTTCAAAATTTTGAAATCTTTTAGAAATATTAAAAAAGTTCAGAAATGTCCCAAACAATGAAAACATTTGAAAATTTTTGTTTCTGTGTTCTTTGAGAGATTTCCAACATTTTTCATTTTCAAAAAATTTGAAAAATTTATTAAAGGCTAATATCTCGATGCACACGAGATATGTTTGTCTGGCATGAGCTCGGTAGCGTAGATGTTAAGGTACTAGTGCTTAGTTGTAAGTGTGTCTAGTATTAAGTGTTCCGTGTTCGAATCCCCATGTATGCTATGTTTTTAGGTATCACCAGCGGCAGCACCAGCACAGTAATTAGAGTTGTGCTGTGGGGCGGAACCCCTAGATAAAATTCCGTTATAATAGAACACTCTTTTGTATAATTTCCCATTTTCTATCATTTGCTGTGGGGGGGGG